CAGTTGGCCCTTCTCCCGGTTATTCCTTCAACTTTTGTTCTGCCTTGAATGTGATTCAGAGTGTGCTGGTTGACTGCAGACCTGGAGAGATCTCAATTTTCCCTGTAAACAACTCCGTATGACCAGGAAAATAAATGGCAATGTAAAAATCAAGCTGTTATGTAAGAACTAAGATCAACTACTCAAACAAGGTTCTCAATGAGATTTTTGTTGGTTTAAAAGTGAATAACCATATTTGATTTGCAGAAACATGGGAATCAGATAGAGGGAGGGGTGCAATGAAGACAGGAAAGGAGAGGAGAGTGAAAAGAAAGGGTGGAGAGAATGAGAAGGTGGGGGGGGGGGGGGGGTTGAGAGAAACCAAAACAAGAAAGGACACTGTAAGACTGACCTTCTTATCCCTGGTAGAATACACTGGAAAGCATATCAAATACCCCTGGTATTTATGCTACTTAGCAATGGACTTTCTATAAACAACCTCTTGAGACCTTTGAATAAAATAGCAATTTATTCGCTCAGACTTCCATTTGTGTGTGTGTTGCTTGTAAATGATGTGTGCTCTATTTAAAAAACAAACAAACAAACAAACAAAAACCAAAAACATTTTACTGTGTTTTAGGTGAAAGTTTCCGCTGCAAATTGCTTTCTCATTGAACAATTCATATTCAAGTTGTTCTGTGCCTTTGATTTTTGTCTCTGCAATGTGTCAGCACGCTTCCCATTTCTACCCTGCCTTCCCTTCTCCTCCCTCTACTTTCTCTGCCCCTCCTGGCTTCTGTCTTTGCTTTTTGGCAAATACTGCCCAGGTAGTCTCCCGGGTGGTCTCATTTGCCTAAAGAGCACATTCCTCTGGGGTGTTTTTGTCTGTTTCACAGAGCAATCAATCAGTTGACGGAAGATGACTTCAGAGAGGGCTTCCGTGAGAATTCAAATGGTCTCCCGATTTCCTCCAGTCTGCATCAGCCCACTAATCTAGTCTTTTTGACTTGGGTTTGTTTTGTTTGTACATTTTTATCTCATCTCACAGGGATTTTCCACTGTGCTCCTCCTCAGGGTAGTCAATAGCAGTAACCAGGCATGTCTAGTTCTTCTGGCCTTACGTTAGAGGAGGCTGTGGTTCCTGTGGGCTCTTTGGCTCCAGTGACTTTCTTGTGTAATTTCCATGATTTTCTAGGACAGGGCCACGTCGTCTGCACATGGAGATGCTTTTCCCAATTTAGAGGCCCCTTATTTTCCTTTCTTGCTGTTTGGCTCAGTCCGGGACTTTCAGGATAACAGTGAACAAAAGGGGCTGTAATGGGTATCTTGTGCTTGTTCCTGCCTCATCCGAGTCGCCTTCAGTCTTCCTTCAGTGAGAGTAATGTTGACTGTTGGTTCCGACGGTGCAGCGCTATCTTAACAGAAACCGTGTTGGATTTTATCAAATATCTTTTCTGCATTTATTCAGTTGATCATGTGATTCTTTTCCTTTTATTTATTTATGTTGTGAATTACATTGATTGCTTTTCTAGTTTGAATTGCCTGTGCATCCTTGATATGAATCTCACCTGATCGTGATATATTTTTAAAATATGATTTTATATTCTTTTGGAGAGAAGGTTTCTGTCTATATTCATGAGAGATAAAAATATGTAGTTTTTTTTATTTTATGGTATCTTTGCTTCGGACTTGATATCAGTGTTATTCTGGCTTCATAGAATAAATTAAGGTATACGCCTTCATTTTTTAATATTACGGAATACTTTGAATAGAATATGTGTCAAATCTTCTCTGAATGGGACCCTGGAGACACAGTGGTTACACTTCGGGCTGTGATCCACAAGGCCAGCTGTTTGAAACCACCAGCCCGTTCTGAGGGAAAAACACAGGACTGTCTGCTTCCATAAACAGTTCAGTCTCAGAGAGTCACGGGGGCAGGGCTATCCTGGGCCATACGACTCAGCATCAAATTGATGGCAATCAGTTTGTTTGTTTTCTTCTCTGAATATTTGTTAGAACCCTCCAGTAAAATCATCTAGGCCATAACATTTTTTTGTCATTATTGGTATTTTTTCTGACACCATAAATGTATTCTTTTGTTAAAGATCTATATATGTAAGTATTCTACATGTATTTGTTAGTTTAGATAGTGTGTTTCTAGACGTATGTCCATTTCTTTTGTTTTCAAATTTGTTACAATATAGTTTTTCATAATATTTTGCTATGATCCTCTTTTATATCTCTTGGTTTGATTTGTTTTTCCCTTGAGTCCTTTCCCATTTTGGTCATTTGAGTCATCTCATTTTTCCCTTTGTCGGTCAACCAGTGGTTCATCTGGTTAATCCACACAAAGACGCGATTTCCAGTTTTGTTGCTTCTTTAAATTGCTTCTCTTTCCCATGTCATTTATTTCTGCTCAGATTTGTGTTTTTCCAGAGCAGGAGTTGACTCTGATGATGCATTCACACTGTGTCTGGAACGGCCTCTCCCTCCCAAATGGGGTCAGAGCGCAAGCACAGAGGCCTCAAAAAACAAACACATTGGCACAGGCCAGACCAGAGCTGCCCCAAGGGGTTTCTGTGATTATAAATCTTTCCAGGAGTAGAAAGCCTCAACTTTCTCCCTATAAGCAGAGGGTGGTTTTGAACTGCTGACCTGACTGTTATCAATCCAAATGTAATCCACTATGCCACCAAGCAGGTCTCCTGTTAGCACAGATTTTAGAATCTACAATACATGGCAAAATGGTTTATGGCAAATGAGAAGATGGCTAAAAGGACCATTGTATGCAATCTCAATATTCTTCCTGAGAACAGGTTCATGTCCTGATCACCCTTGTTTCAATCCATGATTCCTACCCAGTGTCTCTGCCTCGCTTTTTGAATGTTTCATGAAATGGGCTTCCTATGCCCCTATGTGTGCCACTATCTTGCTGGAAAATTCCAACTTATATTTCTCCTCATCACTTTTTTTGTTCAATTTCTTCCAAACAGTTTCCAATTTCATTCTTTACTCTTTTATTTAATGTTCAACCTTCCAGGATTGTCATCTGTATTGGTTTCAATAGGTGTCTTAGATCTTTGCCAGTGGAGACAGCAGGTGTCTGCCTGAATCACTATCTTGGGCTTCCTCAGTAATGTGTTCTTAAAAGTCTGCTTGCCTTCGAAGTGCTCTTATCTACATGAGTCTACTTTGCGATTGCATATTAAACTGGTTGATGTAAAGCATTATAAACCACAAAATATACAAATTTAGGTTAAGTCTGAACAATCTTTAGATCCCATCAGAATGTTGTCAAACATGACATTTCTATTTCTGCTATCTAAGGTCCTAAGAAAAACAGTGACCGTTGATCTATTCTGATGTTTTAGTCTACTTCATTAGACAATTAGCAAAAAATTGTCTAAGAAGGATTTTGTTTTTGTATTTTTCACTGAAGATTCTATTTCTGGGAAGGCCTCATAGTTATAAATCACTTACCTGATAGATATGGAATAAAAGCTTATCATATGTGACTAGTTTTATGTCATGAATTTTAGCGGATTCAGAAAATTATTAGACATGATACTTGCCCTCCAGGAGTGTGTAGTTCATAGTAAAGGCAAAGCTCTCTCACATGATATATATATATGTATATATATATATATATCTTCATTTTCCTCATATGAAAGTTTAAGTGCAAGTATAGAAAGAGCTCAGAGAAGTCATAAATCATTTTGAGCAAAGAGGAGAATTATACTTGTCACGAAAGAAGTATAAGAATTTGATAATCAGAGAGTAAAGGAAGATGTGGGAAAGGCTAGTGAATAGAATAGATGGAATGAAAGCCAAAAGCCACGTTGCAACTAAGTCATTGTTGACCAGTGGAAGAAGACTGAGTGAAAAATCTTTATTGCCAGAGCTAGCTTAAGGCCAGGCCATAGAAGCTATTAAAAAGAGGGCAGATACGTAATGACTGTGCCAACAGATTACAGGGAATATTGCACTAGGTTCTGGTGATGCAGGCCATGAAATGACGAGGACATAACAATGTCTCCGTCACCTTAGTGGAGGGAGGGAAAAGGGTGAATCTGATGAGTATGTTAGAAAGGAAGAGTCCACGTAAAGGAAGGCGATCAAATTACTTTTCCTAGAGTACTAATGTAGACGAAATTTTTATTTCCTGGAATACTTGCTATAGTTAAAAGAGGATCTAATTTGAAAGCATGGAAATAGCAGATTTTGATGCAGAGTTTTAAAAGGTTGAGGAATATCTCATTGAAAACAGCCAATCTCTAAATCCAATGTCTTTTAGATACTTGTAAATAGCTCCATTCACCTAAGTGACTGAAGGTGTAGATTTAAACACTGTCCATTTGGAATTGATAACTATCTAGTTTATGTTCCCAGTGAGGAAAAAGGAGGAAGAACAAGTAAGCAAAAATACATTGGCAGTGCTTACTAAGCGAGAGAGAAAGAAGTGGTATTTATTATGGGAAAATAAGTTAAAATATAATAGAACCTAAGGAAATAAAATTTTTCACTAAGTGCATGTCAAGAGGGATACACACAAACTTTCCCGATGAGCTCATCGAACTTGACGGCTTAGGAGCAGAGTTGGAGTTTGAGAAACCCATTGTTAGCATTCCACAAACATAGGTTCAATGTCAGTGTTGTATCAAAATTAAACTGCTTAGACTTGCCTCGTATACTATTCAACTTCTATTTTTATAATTAAAATTAATTTTTAAATCCCTTATGGTGTAATTTTAGAGGTACCCCGGTGGTGTAATGCTTCGAGTACCCAAGTGGTAATTGAAAGATCGATGGTTTAAATCCCCCAGCAGTTCCACAGGAGAAAGCTGTGTCCGTCTGCTTCTGTCACAAGATTTACGGCCTTGTGGAACATATGGGGAAGCTCGAGTCTGTTTGAAGGGGTTGCTGAGAGTTGGCATCAACTCTATGGCAATGTTGGCTTTATGGTGATTTTTATTTGTTTCTTTCTTTTTGTTTTGTTTGTTTGTTTAACTCTCTCTGTCTAGGAATTTATCTTATTTTGCTACACAAAGTAGCCCATCTGCTGTCATTTTGAACCTGTGGGAAGCTCGTCATCAGCACGATGGTGATCTTGACTCCCTGGCCTGTGCCCTTGAAGAGATTGGGAGGACACACACGAAACTCTCAAACCTTACGGAAGCCCAGCTTGATGCAGCCGACTTCAACTACAGCCGGCAGAATGGACTCTAGTCCACGTTCTCTCCTGAGACAAAATGAAGACCAGCTTGTGGACATTGCTTGGATAGAGAAAGAGAAAGGCAGCTTTCTGTCCGGGGGCTCTGGGGAAATCAGCCTTCCTTTCCAATCAGGGAGAATTCCTGATTGTAGACATTGAATTTTAATAGGTATGATAGGGAAAATTACAAGCTCCTTTAGATAACTGGTTTCCCTGTCCCCTCTGAGTCCACACTTGGGTTAACACTTAAACTCCTCAGATTGGAGTTGCAAGAAAAAAAGTGAGGGACGCAGCTTGATAAAAGTAGCTATGGGAAAAGATTGGCTGTAACGAGGCTGGGGAGGCACACCTTGAATAGTGCATGTTTTGAAAACAGGTTTTTAAGGATGTGCCCCAAAGAACTAGCTGATTCTGATACCAGATTAGAATGTCAGAGTTTTCTCCTGGCATCTGTGGCGCTGGGGATCATTGTACAGCACTTTCAGAAATGGAGTTGGGTGGCCAACCCATTTGTATGAACTTAACAGCATCAAGGTTCAAACGAGGGCATTTTGAACTTAGAATCAGAGTACTTTACACCAGCACCAGTGCCGTGTCTATCCTAGCCACTTAATGAAGATGCGATTGAGAGGTAAAAATAGACCAATAACAAGGTCTTGAAGCATACCCCACCTTCATTTTCTCCAAGACAAATCCATCCATGTTGTTTGTTTCCCTCCCCTTTCTTACCTAGGACAGCAGAAAGAAAGGGTTTCCAGGAGTATATTGAGACCTTTAACTATGGGAATAGCCTTCTCCTGACTCAACAACGCAGTCCCATCTCTACTCCCAGCTAACTTGCTCAGACAGCAGGGAGTGTGATTAGAGCACAGTTTATTACACACACTTGAGAGACAAGAGATGTCGTATAACGTCTAAGGATACATAAACTGTAGATGTCACAGGCCTCAAATTTGAAGTCACCTATTGATTCTGTTTTCATGTTATAATGGCATGAGAGATTTTGCTGTACCTTTAAATCCAGGTTCCTGAACTTTTCTAGCTTTTTGGTACTAGGTCATCACAGAATCTCTCAGTAGGGCTCTATATCATTTGTTTGCCTCTTGAGAAGCAAGTCTTTGCTCTCAATTGTATCCACTTACCTACGAATACTGAGGAACACCTCTACCACACTGCTCCAGAACGAGAGGGAGTTTCCCATCACCAAGTGTGTTCTCTGTACAGAATCGCTGACGTATGGCTCTTACATTATGATTTTTTTCCCATTTTAATATGTGGCAGGGGTATTAGGGAAAGTTGTAATCCACAGATAATTCATGACTTTTATCTTAACCCTTTAATCCATGTTTAATCCTGTTAAATCATTTTGACAAGCTGTTTTGGTAGCCTGAACATAAACACATCTGCTCCTGCTCATCTTCTGATGGACATTTTAATTAATTGTCCACACTCAGGACAATCAATGTCAAGGACCTAGGTTAATCAAAGGCAGCTAATTAGCTACTTAGAGGTTGACTATATTAGAACAAAGTAAAAATGGGCAGGGAGCTGATGAAGCAGAGAGTATTAAGCTATGGAGACATGATCAATGCTTTGAAATAATGCTTTTATCCATCTTGTGTGAAACGAATGCTGTAAGCATTCACATGAAGAAGACATAAAGAAAGGTTGATTCTATGATGCCAGCCATAAGGTGTTGAAGAACTCTTGAATGTGTTGGCCATTATTTCTACTAATGAGTGGTATGTATCATCCCTTGTATTAGATAGATGGCTTTACCACATGAAATTCAAAAGCATCTTGCTTTTCTCAGGAACCAAAGGCTTAATGCATACAACAAAGAAATCCTCTTATAACTTTCAAGCATATTTTCAAAATACCATTTCTAGGTCAGGAGAACACCCTTTGGCTAATGTACTGAACTTGTTAACATTTTTATTCTTTCTTGGAGACAGTAGAGAGAAAATATCAGAGTGTATATTGCATAACATTCCTGATACAAATTCTGATATATACACACACATATATTTCTGAACCCTAAAAATGCACCTCAGTGAAAAAGGAAATAATATATTTCACCCCTAGTTTCAGCCCAAGATGGAACTACATCTCTTTGGATCCTGCTTTATAGTTCACTCTTGTTTCGGTTAGGATTATACAAAGGATTTATGAATATCACAAAAAAATTATATGATCATTGTATGTCAAGATTGTGAAGTATTTTCCCAAAGATAACCCATGTTTTTGAGACTGAAGACCAAGATGGGAAGAGTGGAGGGGTACAGGTCAGTCAAACAGAGCTCAGAATTGAGTTGCTGGTCCATAACCATGACCTACGCTTTTGTTCTACTGTGATATTTACTTCTTACAAACACTGCCATCCTAAAACAGATTTAATCGTTTGAATGCATACTTTGAATACTTTATTATCCTAGTGGAAAGGGAAGCAAAATATTAAAAATGGCCTTTTTGAACTGGGTGGGTCACTTAGTTTTGTTTTATTTCAAAATAACATAGCTCACCTACATGTCAAATCTTTCAAATCTCAAAGGCACTTAAGTCTAATAGTCATGCTTTAAATATGACAAAAATTATGCCATCCAAATGATGAACTTCAAAGCTTCACCAGTCTGCAGCATCGTAAAGTTAATGTACAGGTTTTACAACTTAGCGTGTGCAGTCTTAACTAGTTTACATTAAAATTCTTTAAGTCAAAAGGAAATTCACTGTACAGATTTAAATACAAACTTCATTTATTGGTACAGGAAGTCTCATAAAACTCAGATGTGCTCTCACAAAAATTTCATTATCCTTTTTGTAAGAGACGAAAAGGGATCGACATAATTCTCTTTAAACCAGGAAGGGGGGCGTCTCTCATTTTTTATTTTCTATCTCCAACTGCAGCTGTTATCTTTTTGCTCTAGCCCCTGTAGAGGGTTTTCTTTCCACCAGCTTTGAGAGGAAATGTTATGTCAGATGACTAAAACAGGGTTCTCTTTGGATGAAAGGTTCTGGATTTATTGAGACAATTTCCCCTGATAAGAATTCTCAACATCGGGATTTATAAGCAAAGGTAGACTACTAAAATGGTATAATTGGTTTTAGATAGCATCCTGCCCTTTCTAACCTCCAGGCAAATTTAACTGTGAATTTCAAAATGTTATAAAACCTTTCTGTGTGCTTTTGCTTTCCCTGCTAGCCACTTCTCTTCAATCTCTCGGTCACTCTTCCCTGTAAATGTGTTGACTACCGTAGCTTTCCGATGTGTTGACAGGTAAAGCTGTCTCCGAGGCCTTTATTCCAGCTCATTGAAGGTCAGAGGAACGGGCAAGGAGCTGAAAATGTGCCTCTGGCCCATTGTGTGGCCATTTTAATTATTTTTCCTCATAAAGCATTGCCAAGTTCTGACTCCTTAGCAATTCCCATGTACTGGACTAGAGGTGACATCCACAGCAAATGGGAGAACCGATTGTCGTCCTAAAGATAGTGACGCAATTTTATTAGCCTTTTGGTGTTTGTTCCACAGCACTGTATTTGAACACTGATGCTTTAGCCAAAAGCTGAATGGCCACTGTTTCCGCAGTTTCCACTGTTTTGTCTGCATAGAATTTTCCTGAACTACAAGCAGAAATGTATTTTGTCCAATGTCACAAAAGTGAAAATGTTACTAATCTTAGACGTGTTGCATATTTTGTGTTTTCACTTCTCAAACTCTTTCAGAAGCTGCAGTTACCAAGCTGTTTGGCTGCATTGACAGCATGTGGTGTTTTTACAAACGCAATTCTAGGAGGGCCAGCGTCTGCCATGGACTTCCCTTCCCCGCTCCAGGGGCGTCAAGACATCGGAAATGGCAATCTGTATGCTGTGCTTTCCAGGAAGGCCAGTGGGATGGACGTCAGACCTGGCTCGTTAGTCACTAGTGTGTAGTACTGTGATCTGAAGTAGGAACCCTCACTCACGTAGAATAATCGTGGTTTTTGAAGCAGCTACTCATTGCTTTTTCCTTTTGCTCTGAAGATCATGGAATTGGAATGTCCTCATGAGGTGGGCCCAAGAGAGTAACATTAAACTTCATGTCTTAAAACTCACCCTCCACCGGAACCCAAAGATATAAAAGGCAGTGCTTCAACAGAGATTCATGTTGAAACCTGAGTTTAACATGGCCTCCCCCTTGCCCCCATCCTTAATATTGAATGCTACCATAGGGAAACCATTTTTTCCCCCCCAAAGAGTCACAGCTTTGGATTATTAAAAAATTTCGCTAAATGTGGGTATCTAATTCATTGCATGAATGATAATTGTATCAATACTCTTCAAGAGACACGATCCAAGTGAAATGGCCCCATGTTTCAATTTTTGCTAAGCCCCCAAACATTTCACTTAGTTCAAGCATTATTTATATATAAATTTCCAAATTTGACAAATTACAAAATTCCTTTAAAATGCTATCTATATGGTGGGTAAACATTTATTTCTGTTAAAATCGTGATGAAAAGGAGTAATGCTATTTCAGGGGAGTTTATAAATTGAACATCAATCATGCCTTATGACCTCAGTACTGAAGCATAGATATTACAATCAGAAGCAGATCTAATCATTTGAATACCCATCCATTCATAAGTTCAGGTGCTGCTGAAGGGGGTTGCCCTTAATCAGAAGGGCAGCTGTGCTTCTTCCGAGGGGAGCTACACATTTCCCATCAGAAGTGCTCCCCTCTGCTCGTCCGAGGTTATGTAAGCCACTCCCATTCCAAACTTCTTGGTAAGAAGGTGGGAAAACGTTCCGTCTGTGGACATTTTCTATTCAGGAAAACACTTTTCTTCTTCTTAAAATTGGAATAAAGTCTCCTACTTAAAATTTCCTGTTCTCCATAATTCTATCTGATTGGTACATGCAATTCAGGAAAAGCTCAACCTCACACGATTGCAAGCATAAGCATTTAGAGACAACTGGCGGGTTTTCCTGACCTATACACAAACAATATGAGTAATCGTTTACCTCCATGTCTGCATGAAAGAATTTAAAACAGATTTCATTTTGTTCTTTTTAATTTTCGAAGGTGGGTGGTGGGGGGGGGCGGTTCTTTCACGTGATTCATGTCTCAAACCCATCCCACCCTCAACTCTCATTGGAGGTGTTCAGCGCCGAACAGGAGCAGAGCTGGACACCTAATTTGACATGAAGCTGCAGGAGCAAGCCAGCCAGAGGGGGGCGTTGGAAGAAAGCATGGCCTTGGCTTCATACCACCCTTTTTGTGCCTTGTATTATCAATGTAAATTTTGAATGTTGTACAGTAAATACTTGGATGGACTTCTGAGAAAAGGCTGCACTGGCTTCTTTTTCAACATCTGTACATATCTATAAATTGCTATACATATATATTTGGTAATGCCAAACAGCTGTGTTATATTGTATTGAACAAAATGGACAGTTTGGATGTTTTATGTAGAGTTTGCCAAAAAAAAAAAAATGGATGGTTACAGACTTTTCAAGATAAATGTACAGACGTAAATTACTGCATATCACTTATTTATGAATAAAGAGTCTTTTATTGACATTTTAGGATATTCCGTGGGTGGAACTTTGAAATTCCGGTGAAGATCCCCTCAACATTCCTCCAGCCACAGTCTAGCAGGAGCTAGAATGTTCTTCACAAGAACAATTTCAACACGTGTTAACATATTGAGAATTATTTCTCACTTTTGCTTCAGGACTGAGATAGTCTGAGACTCCTGGAAGCAAAGGTGGAATGACCTCTTAACACACACACACACACACACACACACACACACACACACACACAGTCTTTTCTTGGGATATGGTTGTATTTACCCTGAAGTGATCTTGCCCATTACATTCCTGTCTCACCATTCACTTTATTCCTCAAAATGCTCGGGCTTTTTCAATCGCTGAAAGAGCCCCCAAATTCGATCACTACGTAGCTCTACTAAGAACCAGTTTAAGCATTCATATCTACTCAAAGATGACTCCTCGTGTATTTTCATGAGTTGGTAATACTTTAAAATGTCACAAATTTATTTAAACCAGTATTTTGCAAGTTGATTTGGTTTGGTTTTATAAAATATTGTTTCTACAGAATGGAAATTTTATTCAGATTCAATTTGGAAAGCTAAAAAACGGAAAGGGAATGTAGTTTTCTAGTTTTCTTTTTTAAAAGCCAACAAGCCCTTTAAGCTACAAGCGTGCTTGATGAGTTCCTAAGCATGTTGGACTGGTAGAAAAAGATACAAAATGCACACACTGGCTGGGATTGCAGTGTCCAACAGTCCTGCCCTTCGACGAACTTAAAGCGGATTACGATGCATTTACATTTGGGTCAGCGTTAGTTCAAAGTCACCTCAAACAAAGTAAATAAGTTATAATTAGGCACAGCCAACTCAAAAGTTTCAGAGCTATTTAAATAGTTAAAGCAAATTGAGTTAACCAGAACAGATTTTAACCAGAACTGTTACGACTCGAGTAAAGATTCTGATATAACTAGTCACTGGCGAAGACCAAACTGTTTGAATTTGTAATAGATTGCTCAAAACAGTCTTTTCAAAAAAACCTTGGTTAAGAAAAAAGTTTTATTTAGCTAAACTCTAACTCTGAATAGATTGTGTTACATTGTCTAATTTATACTTTATAAAGAAGCCAAAATTTGTCTGTTTTATCAAGCTTATTCTGTTAGGGATATTTTTCATTTATTCAGAAAACATTTATTTAGAATGAACTATTTGATAACAGTCTGGGATTCAAGTCTTGACTACCATTTAAAACTTCATAACAAGCAAGTGGCTTAGCATTTTCTCTTCAACTCTAACTCCTGGGTGGCAGTGATAGAATGTCCGGTTCTATCCAAACTGAAGATTCAGAGAAAACAAAATGCCCCTAAAGCTCGTGGTAAGCAATCAATGCACATTCACTTTTATTTTATTTTAGAGTAGTTAACAGAATGAGTTTAGGGGCCAGACAGGCATGGGTAGTACACTGAGTCAGCTGTCCTCCAGTTACATGATCTTGGCAAAGAAACTCGTCATCTTAAAAGGGGTAATCCTATCATGCTCAGTGTGACAATGCATATGCACATCTCAGTTTGTCTATGGCTAGTTCTGATTCTAAGCCGAGATGGTCTAGATCGTGTATTGTATAAACATGGGGACATGGCAATAGGGCTAGCTGCTCAACATTACTTTCTTTCTAATACCTGCAATAAACATGTCTCACTATCCCTGAAATAAGAGAACTGAAATATATTTTCACCTATAAAATTTAATAATACAATGAGTTTCAAAACACTTTAATAATAACTCATAGGTTCATCTTACTTAGATTGCTGTTTTTAGGAGAGAAGGAACTTGAATCAGATACATATTCTACATATATCACTAAGAAAAATAAAATATATATTTAAAAATTGATACACTCTGGCATGGTGTAATATCATTGAGACAATCCCATTTTTTTGTTTCAGAGCATACAAGAACCTTAAAAGCATGAGAGTGGTTACCAAGTAAACATTAAAGAGGTACCTGGACACAATGTCCAGGTCACAATGATGTCACAATGATGCTCCCGATCCTCTGCCATGAGCTAGCCGTTCAGAAAGAAAAGACATCAACTCGGCTTTCAAAAAGAAGTTCTTTTGTGCCCCCCAATTTTCATGCTATCAAACAAGAACATGTTATAACAGAGAAAAGTTTAGATCGTTCTCATTGCCAGCGAGGCAATTCTGATTCTTGGTGACCTGTGGACAGGGTAGAACTACCCCTGTGGGTTTCTGAGGCTGCAAATCGGTAAGGGAACTGAAAGCCTTAGCTTTCTTTAGCAAAGCTGCTGCTGGGTTTGAACTGTTAACCTTATGATTAGCAACTCAACCTGTAACCCACTACACCAGCAGGGCTGAAGCATAAAGAAGTGACACTTAATTAAGGTTGCGTTGACATGGGGGGGGCGTGGGGGAGGGGCGGGCGGAGAGGAGATGCCTAGCAAACATGCCAACGGGTTGAGATTTTAAAACAATGCATTCGTTATTGTTATAACTAAGCTGTATGACAACTTCTAATTTTGGATCAAAATAATTTATTATTCTCAAAATTGGTCACGTGGGAGGTTTGCATGATCTGGATTTACCTTGGTTGATCTCAGACAATGTGTCTTGAGGGGGTAGGCGCTGGGGTTGACTATTTCGGGCTGGGCACCCTCGTGTTTAGAGCCTGTCTAGGAAGACAGAACTAAGCCCGGCTTCATATATTTCATAGTCCCCAAAGCTAGGCTGATGTACATCCTCCTGGTAAAGTCAAAGGAATAGACTTCTCCAGTCTTGAAACCAGAAAACAATCATTTCTGCGGTATTGCTACCTTCAAAGAACATTCAGACACAAGGTGGCGGGAGATGAAATCCCGCTCTTGAGGAAAACTGTTGCAAAAACCCATTGTCATGGGTGAGGGTACAAATAGAGTGGAAAATGCATGCCATCGTTTTATAAATGATTACTAAGATATCAGACAAAAGTGAGGGGAACGATCATTTAACACATCCACTCAACTAACGACCGCAGGGAGGACAGTCTAACGCACAGCGCCTCCATCAGACAGAGCAGAACTGCCCTGCAGGGTTGTCAAGACGCCAGCTCTGCTGAAGCAGGAACCATCTACCTCCTGATGCAAGCCTGGCAGTTTCAATACGCTGACGTTGCCGTTAGCAGTGCAATGCTTAACTCATGTCACCACCACGGCTCTTTTCAACAGATTAACAAGGACAAATATGGGCAGGGCATCAAAAAAGTCATAGAAAAAAATGTAATTAAAAAAATTATGGAATTTTTCTACGAACTTTTTGAAGTCACTTTGTAGACTCACAAACATCTTACTGAGAAAAGGCTACCATATAGCTTTTATTATTTTTCTACACCTTTTCTACACACGTTGGCTTTTCTAATAATATCACATCCAAAAGATACATATTGGTGGTAGGTACTACTCAGGTTAACCAAATTTGGTTTTAAAAAAAAGCTGAAGTAATCCCATTCATAAAGATTTCTTTATCATGGTACTTTGAAAGACTTTAACATGGCCAATGTATTATTATTATTCATACTTCACAATTGGGAAAACTGAGGGGAAAAGGTATTCTAATGCTCATTTTTAGTCATGGTTTTAATTGCATAAGTCACATTCCAAATATTTATTAACTTTTATTCAGTGAACATGAGTAATGCCTTACAGGCCACATTTTGTAATTGATGTTTCACAGACAGGTGGTGTCCTGGTTGAGATTCACATGGTCAGCGGTTCAAAACCACCAACAACTCCGCAGGAGAAAGACCAGCTTTTCTCCTCCTTTGAACAGTCATGCTGGCTGGGAAGCCCACCAGGCGTTACTGTGCATCAGCATTTACTGGGCAGTGAGAGTGTGAGAGAAATGGGTCAGAACAGAGACCAAATTAATTTACATTTCCTTTGGTTACTTTTTTCCCATTATTCACCTATTTCTTTTACTTAAATATATATATATATATGTAATATATATACTATATAAATATACTATATATATAGTATCTCCAAACAAGTGTCAAACTCAGGACAACTTTTTAAATATTTCATTCTATCTCTGAATGCTTAATTTCTCTATCACTTAATACAAATGCTCCCTTAAAACTGATGGGGATGAATTGCAAATATTTTGCTCTGCCTTATGAAGATTACTTGTTTTAAAAAGTTGAAGGCATCTTTACAAGCAATTAAATACTTTGTGTTAAGTAACTTTGACCCATTTAAGCTTGGTGCAAAATGTGTTGGGTCTCCAGCCATGGGTAAGATGCTGTTCCACTAATTAGAAAGAGCCCAGAGTAGAGATAAGAAGGCATATGTTCGAATTCTGATTCCCATGCATACCAGTGGAGTCTTAGACTAGCCATTTTGTCTTTTTGAGCATCATTTTCTCATTTGTAAAATAAGCATTGTCAGGATCTTGTCCCATCTACTATATCTGGCAAAGAACGAGATCAAATGAAAGTTTTTGTGCAACAAAAAACTTAGTACTCTAGGAAATTTTATGCAGGCATGTATTTTAACAAAAGGAGACCTTCACATTGACTTTCAATGAATAAACAATCAGAAATTAGAAAATTTAAACTAAATCTATGGTTGAAAATAGAGATAAAGCAATTGTAAATGATCCATAACATTCTATGCTCTCCAAGGACCCCTAAGTTTAACAATTTGGTGAGGGTGTCTACAGAAGCAAAGGTGGCCTGATGTCCTAGCATCATAGTTTTAATAAAACGAATACTTTGAAAACTTTTATTAATATGTGTGTGCCCTTGCCAATGCCGTAAGCAAAATTTTCTATTAGATCCTAAAAGTAAATTATATATTTGTTATCACTGAATGAGGTAAGAGTTGCTACTTCACCTTAGGGCTTTATCTTCTTACTCCCCTTTAAAATCAAGGCACAAATAATAATAATATTATAATATAACTTGGGTTTCTGGGGATAGAATGGGGGAGGGAGGGAATAAAGAGGAACTGATATCAAGGAGTTCAAGAAGAAAG